TTAGGAAAAACGAACAGGGTTTGGCTTTAGAATCTTACGGGACACCAACACAGCTCTCTCAGGTGAAAGTCGGTCTTTGTTGGACCCATTCACCACCCCTCGGACTTTCGCCACCTTACCTTTGGTTATTGTCCTGCCACATTTCCCCCTGACACCACCAGGAGCCATTAAACTATAACAGCAATTGGCCGTGTATCATTAGGACGTTAAAGAACGCCTTTTTTTCGTTGGTTTCTGACGCTGCAAGTCACTGCCCAAGTGAGGGATTTCAACGACTTCAGACTGAGACCGGGCTCGTCATAGAGGCTTTGTTTAAATGTCTGTCTCTTTAAGCCCCTGTCCCAAATAAGTCCAGTCTGCTCTGATTGGTCAGCGCTTAAGGGTCTTCCTCATCTCAGCATCGCTGCCCTGTCATTGCAGCCAGGGGAACAACAAACAGAGAAACAGAGAATAGTGGCACTTTCTACCATGACAAATCACCAGTAAGACAAAATCTTCACAAGTGGACATATTTCACCAGGTAGCTGATACGAAATCTGGAAGAAATTAACAAAACTAGCAACCAAGACTGCTTGTTTCCCTGACATTCGCATGAAGCTACATGTAGCGGTGTAGGCGATGTAACGTAAACACCTGCAGTAATGTGCTTGGAGCAGATGACCATATAGAGAAATTTGCCATTAGCTGACGTCAGCTTGTCTTGAAAGTGAGAAAGAAAATGTTACATACTTACATACTTGTAACTCATATTTGAAACTGGCCACATTTAATATGAACATCTGACATTGTAATGTTTTATATTTATGACAGAAAATAAAAAGTATAGTAGATCCCCTTTTGGATCTTGTCAGGCGTTGTTCTGCAAGAGACATTTCTTAAGACAAGCTGAGATAGGATTTTTTTTTTAAGGATTTTTTAATACAGTGTACGTTGTGATGCTAGTGAAACCAGATGGAGCTCAATAAATATTAACAGGCAACACGACGAGACAAAATGAAACATGGAAAATACAAACAACTGTACACACTGCAATCTTTCAACTCGACATCTCCCCTCCCTTGATTTTCCCTCCACAGTGGGGAAAGAGAAGTGATAAATTACAAGGTAGAATCTGAAGTGTTTGCTTTTGGAGGAAACTGAGAAAACTGCTGTGTGAGGTGGATATTTATATCCGACTTCTCTGGCTGGCAGCGTTGCCTCTCTGCCCAGCGTTGGCTTCACAGGACCGCTGTCTGTCTTCACCTGTAGGTCAGGCGCAGACGGCCGCTCCTCCCCACATCATACAGACTCTCCTGTAGATGCCCCGAGGATCAAGAGGTGTCTGCGGGCCCCGACCATCCCTCTGACTGGAAACTAGAGTTTAGGATTTTCAAAAGAAAAAAAAAACGTTTCAAAGGATTAGAGAGTGTTTGTTTATTCTTAGCAGAAAGGATGTAGAGAATGACAGTACATAACTCATGTGGCTGCGCTGCTCTTTGATGTATTCAGATGCATCCAGCACGTATCGTCTTACAAACACCATTAGCTATAATTATCATCGTGTGATCTAATTAGAAACACTGACTGAGATACGTTGAAGTCAATCTAACCGAGGTAGAGTACTACTTAAGCACCACCTAAGCCGTTGAAATCTGGGCGTCTTCCCGCAGAGATCTCGTCTCTGCTCATGAGGTCACCTGTGGTCGGCCAGTGGAAACATTTGTTCAGAACAAGGTAACGTATCTGTTTGGGAATATACAGCACCCACTTCCCTTTCTCCAGGAAGAAGGTGGTCATTTGTGGGAGGAAGAAAGTGTTACTCAGGCTTTACTCACAAAGGGTGCAAGAAGAGCCGTCACGGGGACACATCATCTTGTTTTTGCGATGACTAATGAGCAGATTGCTACCAGCACCTTTTGCTATGTCTATCTGGTTTTCATCTGTTGATAAATCACATCCCTGGAATCAGGGGAAGGGTGCTCTATTTGGGCACTCCCTGAAAAGCAGCGGGGAAGGCAATAAATGTAAACTATATATAGACTGTTAGTCAATCTATGAGTAATTCCACATTTTTCTCTTCACTGTAAGTCCGTAAACCCAGCAAATGTTGTATATAAATAAAGGAAAAGTAGAACTAAATACAAGGTACCACCACCATCAAATAGTATCCCTAAAGTGAACGCTACAAAAACAATTAAGCCAGGAGAATGAGATGAAATTCCATCAAAGTGAATGCCCTCACATCTGGAGGACAGGTGTAGGCCTAATTCTCATGTGTCAGAACTTTCTCCTTAATTTACTTATTTAAGAGTCCACAAAAGCGAGAGTGAAGCTGTTTGCACACCTCCGGATTTGACACGGGACACGACTCAACCCAAAAGGCATGGTTATCCCTCTAAAAATGAAAGCACGGCGGGCAGGTAGAGGAGAGGACAACTGTAACGTGTCTGAAGCGTAACCTGTTCTCCGGCCCTCGCTTTGAAACCAGATGAAGATCGGCTGCGGCCCTGAAGTCATTACACCTTCAAAGGTAATTAACACATGGCTTTTGTTTGGGCCCGATGAGCCCCAGATTATGTAGGTACAGATGGTCAGGGGGGCGGACGACAGATACCAAGAGCAAGGTGTGCTTGGATGTGCTTTCATGTCAGCAGGAAGTGCTTGACCCCTGGCCCCCTCCTGACCTCAAATCTAGGCTGTCAACGCCATTTCCTTGAGTGCCCTGTAAAGATTAACATGTGGACAGAGACAGAGGGCCTTTGGACCCCTGCACGATGAGCTCGAGGACCCAGCTGGCATCACTGCCCTGCAACACCTTTTGCCAGTTATGCTAATGTAAGGTTATATAAGATCAAAGGCTTGTTTTTATCTCTTTTTGCTGAGGTGTTGTGGATTAAACTGCAACATTCATCTCTGGAAACTGTAAAAGCTTGGGAGCTGGAGACCAGAAAAATGTTTCTCAATGTTTGTCACCATCGACGGGTTTGTTCTGCTCTGCTTTAATGTTTTGAGTGGCTGTTTCACTTTGGGCTAAAAACTGCCACCTGGCGTATTTCTCGAGGTGGTAAATAGCAGCACTTCCTCCTTTTGCCATCAAAGGGAAGGAGGTCTTGCCTTGACCTTGGAGCAACTTTACCCCTCAACCCCTCTGATCTCTCTCCCAGTACAGATACTGCAGGGACTCTGGGCAGCATCACGTATAGAGAGGCATTTTGGGTCATCAGGATGATACCACCTTAGTTTTCATCTGTGATCGATTTTGTTTTATTAGCAGAACTTTTAAGGAAAAGTTTGGGGAAATACACTTTCTTGTAGACTGATGCCACTTTCTTATCTGTTTGTGAACTATAAAGCTGCCGCCATTAAGCTAAATGTTATCTGTTTGTTTAATCTGTACAAAAATCAAAGTGTAAAAACGGTAATTCGCCATTTCACCAGAGGCTATGTACCTAACTATTTCTTGGCCAGGACTACGGCTGCGCAATATCCAGTTTGCAGAAGATAAAGGTATAAACGAAGTATTGTCACACTACAGAGAAGCCCTGAGTATATCATGCACCCCTAGCCAGGACCAGTACCTTCCTGGAGCCCTCATGGTTGCCATGCAACTTGTTCTGGCCAAGAAATAGTATGGCACATTGACTCCCCTGTAAAATTCTGATTTGTGATTTTTACACTTTAGCTTATGCATGGATTAATTACTGACATTTAGAGGTTCTTGCTGACAGATATTGTTACCTTTCCAAAAGACAGGCTGGCGGTTTTCCCTGTTTTAAGTCCAGTGCTGGGTGCTCACATGAGCTAGCTCAAAGTTCAGTCAACACAGATGAAGATGAACACGTTCACTCTTTAAATTTTGAACAACATTCACAGTCCTAAAAAATGTATTTGTTTTACATTCATGTCCATTTTTTAAAAGTAAATAAAATAAAATATTACAATCATCATTCACTCGCAGATAGACTGATCTGATGCTTCAACTCACTGTGTTGCTTTAAATACGTCACCGATGTGGCTGATGTGTAGACTTGTTTTTTGGGTACAACTGGCATATATGTGAGATTTTTTTCAGTTGGAATCTTTACTGGTTTGTTCATAAAAGTCCTTCAAATATCCATATGAACTGGCTTTAGCAGTACGGGTAGCTGCATTGTCTCAAGTGCCAGTAGCACAAGCCAACAGGAAGGAAACACCACACGATGGGGGAAAAGACTTCGATTCAAATCCTCTGGTGCTGTAAAACGTGCGTCGCTAATTGTTCATGTTCACAAGTTATAAAATAATGTATTTTCACCCAAAAATATGAACGTGTTAAATGGGTGGCCATTTTAGCCCTTCACGCACAACACTGGCTGGCATTTCTTCATATTTACTGCACAGTCAAATGTGATATCCATCGTCTCATCTAACTAACAGTAAGAAAGTGAAAAAAAGCGCATTTCCTTTATCCGTTATCGCCCTTTACTCAAAGTGATGAAATACAAAGTCAATGTCATAAAGGAGGAGTAATGGGCTCCAGTCAATGCTGAATGGTAATGATAGAGCACTTCCTGTTTTGTGTTGAGGCAATTGGGAGTTTTTTTGTTTGTTTGAGTGATTTGTGTGCTTTTGATTCTGTGTGACAAAGAATTGAAATATTCTTTGCAAAGGCTGAGTAATGCTGAAATTATAGGGCAGATGCGTTTCTTGAAAGAATGGATACTTTGGTGCTGAGATCACATTGTAGCAGAGAGTACGTCACCATGTAAATGCACTAGAAGGTGGTATGATTCAGATTTAGATAGCAGTAGTAAACCGCACTCCACGTGTTGTCAGTCATGATGTGTGCCCCTGCAAGCATCAAACACACAGGCAGACGCATACATACACAGGCCCAGTGATCTCTACAGTTTAATATGAATTATCTCAAGCAGACACTTGGATCTGTGGGTCAGCAGTCTGTCTCAGGAGAGTGTTTGATGATTGCGTTTTATTGTTCCAGAAGGTCAAGATCTTCAAAGCTCTCCTTCTGTTCTCTGCAGGGCACCCGGGCAGCAGCTGTCGGAATACACTCGGCTTTGTGTTTTTATACGAGAGAAGAGGTAGGTCAAGCCCACTCTCACAGAAATGTTTTTACTGGGGGGTAGGCACTCAGTGGACACCATAATATTGTTGTTCTGCCCTTTTGTGCCGGAGAGTGGGGAGCGTGTGAATCCTCTTGGATGGGACGTCACCTCTCCCGGGTCTGACGCTGATCAAATGGCCTTTTTGGCATGATTCAGCAGTATCTCCATGTGTGTGAATGGATGTGTATGTGTGTGAATTATTACAGACAAAACAGACCACCACTTGGGCTTTAGATCAAATGTCTTCTCTCTTGTGCTCCTATAATGCACTGCGTCAGAGCTTATACGCCAAGGCAACACCAAAGTCTTGTACAACCCATGTTATTTTTGACAGTTTTACGCAGCAGATGATCTGACCTGACTCGCTGCTCTTGTTAGAAACATACCAAAGTACGTATGAATTTTTCCTGTCATATTATTGGCTCCCATAAAGCATTCCTGGTCTCTGCTGTATCGATTGGGTCCAAGATTACATGTTGTAGGAGGCAATATTTTAAAATTTGCCATTTGTAATAATACAAATGTCTTCACACAGTGATAACAGTGGATATTTTTAGTACATATAAGCCTCTTAGCTGACAATTACAGGCCTTGATACACCAAGCCGACGGTCGGCCTTTGGTAAGCTTTTGTTGCCCTATTGTTTTACAGTGTGTCCCACACTGTTGACACTACTCAGCCCTTGTATGTTTTTCAGCCTTTTCAGCTGGTTGACTTAGAGTCCGAGAAGCAGGAGCCAGTCGCTGAGAGAAATCACCCTGATTGGCAGTTAAGCTCAGTACACGAGAAGCAAAACTATAGTGAGGAAGACGGTAAATATCCTCTTTCAACATCGGGTTGTGTTATCAATGTGCTAACTGGCTACCTTTTCGAGTAACAATTACAGACTGCTGCCACCTGCTGGTATGGAGAGTTATTCCCCCTCACACAGGCGCAGAACGTACATGGTTGTTGGCTGTGTGTTCAAGTGCAGCTATTTGGCGAGACGAGGGCGACTTGAGACGATGCAACAGTCGGTCTTCGCCGCCACTGGTTCTTTGATGTTGGTTTGGTGTGTCTGGGCCTTAAGGGTCTCTTTTGAAGGAATGATCTCACTTAACCTGACACAAAAAAGACTTGAACATCTGTAAGTGCAGATAAGACATGGTGGAACTACAATAGGCCCACATTGCACCATTTTGTTCACTTAGAGCCGTTTAAAAAGACGTTATACCACATTTTTCTCCTCATGACATCTTCCAGCACAGAATGCAGTCAATAAAATGAGTCCGTTAGTTAAGAGAAGTGGCCAAATAAAAACATATTACGATGAGAGCTTTCTTCTAGCTGACAACAGGCTAAGTGCCAGTGGTTTAGATCTGTCATGAGAGTCAGCGGCCCCCCCCATCAGCTTGGAAACTCAAAGCCAACAAGGACGCAGTGATAAGACCTGGATGGTGCGGTGTGGTGTGGAATAGTTCACACACTGTTTCCCTGACCTCCTGCACTCTTCGGCTGACCACCCTGAAACGCTGACTTTTCTTACGCCCGCTGTGATGCTGCTCCACCCGCGCCCTTCCCTCTTGACAGGATGTCCATGAAAGACTCCCTCTCGTCCTCCCCCCTCCACCTGTTTTCACACCCAGCAAGCTGAAGAGGCTCCTTTTCATGCCGTTGCTATGCATTTGAAGTGTCCAGTTGCTGAACACATACACTTAAGACGGTCTGTGGTTTGTGCCTTTGATAGCTGGAATGCTGTTTTGGACTTTCTTACACAGCTACGGGTCAAAATGCACCAAAACCTAAGCCAATTTATTTTCCAGTTTTAAAGATATGTAGAAGAAGTGTGACTTTGTTTAACTGTGCATCTCATCCTTTATATAGCCCATTGAAATACCAGATTGTTTTAGGGCTGCACAATTTTTTATCACTGTATGTCAACTTGTGCCATAAATGCAACTTGAAAAACTGCAGTATTGCACTCAATATTTTTTTGAGTTAGTTAAAAAAGAGTGTCAGTAGAAAACTGCACTATAAAATGTGTCATTCTTTTTTACTGGTGCCTTTTGTGTTCAGATCAATAGTTAATTTGTTCAATAAAAGAACATCTTTGTATTTTAGCAGTATACTGAAAGCAGCTGAAAGGCAGAACTAGCATTGGGTACAGTTCACATTTAAAGTGATACTGGTTCCTCGAATTCAGTACTGGTACCCAGTGATACCTTTTTCGGGTGCTCTGCTGTTTTCTAATGACACACGGAGTTAAGTCTCTGTCTGTCTGTCGGTGTCTGCTCGTCTCTCTAGCTCTGTTTCCGCTCACTAGGAAGCTGACCAAGTTCTGTGGCCAGCTTCGGGGTTCTTTGCAGTGCTTCTGTCTTTCTTCTCCATCCTGAAGCGCCCAAAAGCCAGGAAGCCAGCCATGGAGTTAAGTGGGCAGTTTTCCGCCTTTGGGTCACTTAACAGTGCTTTAGCCTCCTTTCTGAACATGGCGTTCTCACCCAGGTGTGTTCTTGGGTACCAAAATGTGGCACCGATTGATTTAACATGAATTGGTGCTTCTTAGTACAGACATACTACGGTCGGAAACCTTAGGGTGCTTTCAGACACAGAGTTCGCTTGCTTTGGTCTGAATCAAGGACTTATTTTGTTACCAAGTTGCATAATTGCCGAGAGTTGCTTCATGTTCTCACGGCAGCATTTACAAGCAGACCAGAGAAAATGCTTTGAGTGAGAAAGCTGCTCTTGATTGGTCAGAATTTCCATGCTGGAAAAATCCAGGAAATAAACAAAACGTTGAAGAAGAGTACACTTGCAAGATAAATGTGACACTTTCTAATGTCACAATGGAGGGACAATTACGCAGGTTGATTTTAGAGCTGGTCATCGTGGACTATATTGCTGTCATTGTTCATTTTAGTCAAACCATACAGTTTGAAAACGAGGCGCGGCTCCAACTAGAAAACAATGTTATGATGCATTGGATGTGCTGAATGTGCATATTAAGGCAGTACAGGAGGAGGTGCACATTAATAATCCTCCAGGACTGTAACATGCTCATGTTTAACCCAAACAATGTGTCATGCGACTGCAGTTGGTTCAGATCGAGGTTGGACCAGAGTTCATTTGTAGCTGGACTGAGACCACCTCATCAAGAAGGTCTCGGTCTGGTTGTTTTGGTGCGCACCTGAGTGTGATTGTTGTGTTCACACCTGCCCAAACGAACCGCACTTAGGGGGCAAACGAACTTGAGTTTGATTGAACCAACCCAAACAGGGCAGGTGTGAAAGCACCCTTAAAAGAGTTCGGTATCCAGCCCTAGTCAGAAGTAAGTACACTTTAATATGTGATATGTTTACCACGATTTTCAACTTCATCGCATTCCATTTTCCTCATATTGTATTTTCCTCAGCCCTAATTTGTTTCCACTTAACCCGCTGCAATTCACCCAGTTTTTTTCTTAATTGAAACTTAACTTGAAGTGATGAAAGTAGCAGTCATCGACTCTGCTCCACAGTATATCAATAGTTTGTCACAACTGGTGTGGATAATTCCTACTCTACAATAACAGAGCTGTTTTATGTTTCCCCCGAGAGCCACTAACATTGAAGACAGTCGGTCGACTCACTTTGCCAGATTTCTGCAATCTGCAATTCCCAACATTCCCCAGGCTTTTCTTTTTTTACAATGCCAAGAAATAACAAAACACAGATTACACACAAATATGACAGGAAGTTTGAAGCAGTTTATCTCCTCTGCAGCATCAACACAAACAGTGAAACACACACCACAGCAAAGCAGTTGCGAGACTTTTGTCGTTTCATGGGATCTATAACGAAGCAGTGAACTTGCCGGAGAGCAGGACACAGTAGCAGGGAGGGTTTAGCGCTCAAACAAAATGCCGTCACTTTGATCATTTCCTACTGCTCTTTGATCTCAGCACTCTTTAAAGGGCCGATAATGATGTTTAATTGATTATGTAGAATGAACAAGCATGGTTTGCTCTCATATCATTCATTCCTCCCCTTTTTTGTGTGTGCTCTCTCCAAAAGAAGATCGCTCGCATGCCATATTGCCCCTTCCCTTTCTTCTTCTAAAACAAATAAAGACGTCAAACATCAAAGCTGTTCTTGGTTAATAAAAGAAGACCTCAAATATTTTCCATTATGTTTGACATGGTTTTGGGTTTCGCCAACCAGAGGAATAACAACAGGACGGAATAAAATGACGCTTTTTTTTTGTTGTTGCTCCGTTTCTGTGTTACAGAGGTTAAGCAGACCAAACTTGAGCCTGTTCTTTGATCTTGTTGGCTCTAATTATTCAAAGGTAGTCTTTCTCTCTTCTACTTCTCTTCTGAGACACTCGTCCCCCCGCCCATCTCTACAACACACTCCATCGCTCTCTCCTCTTACTGTCCCTTTCCACCCTCCTGATTATGATATCCAGAGTTCCCGGCTAAAACAACAGTCTGTCAGAGGATCACTTTCCTTTGAAGTCGATGTCAGTCAGTTGTGTTTCTGTCTTGGGCCAGAGCACTGACCCCTGACCTGCAGTGATTACTTCCGTGGCGCAGCCAAGCAGAGATAACTGTAAATGCAGGCCTTTGATATCCGCTTGAGAGCGGGAGGTTGAGCCTGAAGGGAAATACAATGATGGTCAGGCATCTTAGCATGTGCGTGTGTGCACACGCTCGCACACAGACAAGGCACCATATGGCAGAGGTCAAGGAGACATGGGTATGACTTCCTGATCAAAGCTGTAACACAGTGATACTTGAACCTCTCAGAACCCAAATCACAGAAGATTTGTGGGGGAATGCTAATAAAATCTCCACTATAAATCCTCCTACTGGTGTCAAGCTTTGGTCTTGACTCAAGAAAACATATTAGAAACCAAACTAATATTAATGTGAAATTGTTGGAGGAATAGTTACACTTATTGTGGCTTTCAAACGGAGAACTAGATAAGAAAATTAATACCACTCTTGTATCTGTCCAATAGATAAGAGGCTACAGCTACCAGCCAGTTAGCATAGCTTAGCAAAAAGACAGAAAACAGCTAGTCTGGCTGTGTTGTAACAAAGTCCACCTAAAAACACCTCTAACTTTTACTTATAGACATGTTATATTTCTAAAAATGGCACTTTGCACTAGTGGTTACGTGCAAGACTTAAGTCAAAAATCCAACGTGCTATATAGTACAGTAAAACAGTACTTTTTTTTGTATGTCTAGAACCTTGGTCTGAAACTGGTAATACATGAATTGCCTACAATTACGACCAAAGTAGCTCTGTAAAGTCGATAACACCACATAAGCTAGATGCTAAATAAAAATTACCTGCGCCCATTGGACTAGGTATTTACCTTTTACAGTAATTTAAGCATTATCTGGCAAGATGCCTGTGAGATACGCAACAAGAAAGTTTGGCTTGGCACATGGTACCATGGTTACGCATCTCCAATCAACAATAAGGCCCTTAGAAAGTCGCTTCGGAGAAGATACATGCTACTGTTAAAGCAACACTTACCTTTCTGGAAATTTTACACTTTCCTTTGTTTAGGTTAAAATGCTATTAATAAGCTGATGGCACACTAAAATGTAAGTGAATTCCACCAGAGATACAAACTCATCATTATACCATTCTCATATGGTTCTAAGAAAACTCCGACCAATCATTGCATTCGGACCAAATGCAATGATTGGTCAGAGTTTTCTCCTGTCTTGTCTGTCTTCCCCACGTGGAGGCCTCCGACTGACGTAACCACTCGCGCAGCATCATCTGGTAAGCTCCGGCAATATACACAAACATTTCATGGTGCTGTGATGTGAGGATCTACCAGTTCTGCTGTCAGGATGTGTTGATGAGTTTTTGACTGTGAAATGTCAACCCTTTTCATCCTACTATTGCACTATATTCTTTCTTATATGTTGCATAAATTGTTTTTAAATGTTTTGTTTCTTTTTGCTTGGGGTATGCGAAATGTCGCATGCCAGTTGCTAATGGCTAACGTTAGCCTACTGTAGCGTAGCCTCTAAAACATTAACGTTATCTTCCTTGTGCGTTTCCACTTACTAGTAATGTTAACGCTACTATCTAACGTTAGCACTGTAACCTTATTCTAAAACTCATTAGTCATCACTGACTATTCCTGCTGAATTTTACCTTGCAGAAGAAAACATGAAAGTCTCTGAAGCATGTGTAACCACAGACCTTATTTCAGGCATCTACTGTTACTAAAAACCCATTAAGTTTGAGACGAGGGAACCAGGAGTGCTAAAATGCTAACTCGTTCACGGGCTTTAGGACATTGCAGCACTCCAGTCTGACACTTAACAGAATTTTTTTTACATCTGACTGAATGGTGAATTTTGTTTATTAGGTTACACTGTTGGTGACAAATACAAGCTAGCTGTTTCCTGCTATTTTGTGTAAAGCTAAGCTAACCGGCTGCTGGCTGTAGCTTCATGTACGAGATGGCTCTTTCCCTTGATGAAAAGATTTTTCACAGTTCCTCCTTCAAATCTCACATCAGTCGCAGTGTCTGTTTGCATCTGGATAAATGAGTGTTATCTGTTTTCACTCACTCAGAGGTTTTGCTGGAGTGAAGGCTGTAAAACAGTCCAAGTTCTGTACTGTCTGCGATGATGAAGAGACGGGGAAATGGAGACAGAAAGGCTGTTGAGATTAATACTTCCCCAGCAGGAGCCACTTGTTGAGGTCTATTAGAAAAAGTGTGGGGTGAATCAAAGAAGAGTAGAAATAGAGAGTTTAACACTCATCATTCAACACATGCATCAGTGACGGGAGAGCACAAAGAGTTTTGTTATTCAGAGGATTTTTTTTTTTTTTTTTTTGTTCCTGCAGATGCCATTTTTCCTGCGGATGTTCTTTTATCTTTGAAATAAGTATTTAGTCAACGTGACAGTCCATTTTCATCTGTGTCCAGATGGCAGACTTAAAAATCACATCCAACAAGAATGCACGGATAATATCCATTCTCACATGCATAAAAATGTAAACAAATGTAAATATTCAGGCTGCATTTGGCCCGTGAGCCAAACCCACTGTCATAGCTGATTAAGTCTTTGAGAATGGTGTTACGAAGCTATTATAATCATGTTTTGTTTAAATCAGCCTGAGCGAGTGGATTTAAGTCTTCAGAGAACAAGGGCCCAACACTCTCACATCAGCATATATAGTCATTACTGGAATGACTGTTGACATGTTCCGCTAAACAAGACCAGAGTCGACCGCGTTCTCATGTGAGGGACAAATGAAGATGAGCAGATGAGAGTTCCCGATGGGGACTCACTCTCTCTCTTCATCCCCCGCTGTAATTACGGCCTTTCTTTTTTCACTCTGTACTTCCAGTCGGCTGTGGTATTTTCTTGTTTTTTTGTTTTTTTTGTTTTGGTTTTTTTTTTTTCTGAAGCAAAGAAAAAAGCCAAAAGACCAGCATGCTGCTGGACTGAATGTCATGTTTGAGCTCAGAATAGTAAACACAAAGCCTTGTAATTTGCAGAATGCTTTTGTCATCTTTACCTCTAATTTCTCTTTCAGCACAGAGTGACTGCCACATATGAAGAGAGCGGGAATCAAAGGAAGCCATGGAATGCGTCAGAGTAAAAATGAACACGAGAGTGAATGACGGTTGCTCGGAAGGCTGATGTTACTATATGTGCCGCTGCTCCTCATTTCACACCCAGATGATTCTCGGCTCACATCATGTGAGAATGAATTTGAACAGGAGAGAAGATACAGAAGATGTTAAACATTAAATTGTTTTTTCATTCCAACTTGTCCCTACTGCAGGTGGGTTTCTCCCCTCTGGTTTAAACTATTATTATTGAGTATATCAGAATAACAACAATCAGTTAAATCACTTGGTCCGTCGTTGATGTCTGCACATTGTTTGTACTCAACAGCACATTTTAGCAACACGAATGTACATTAACTTTCTAAGCCAAAGTGCTGATGAGTATTAATCTATACTTGGTGCATGCAAATCCAAAAATCCTGCAGGACTTCAGCCCTCCACATGCCCCACTACAGACATAATACTCTCTCAGTAAGCACCTCTGAAAGTTCCTATTGAAGCACTTGGTAATAATCCTGATCCTGAACCTAAAATGAAAATATGGGATGTGTCAAGCAGCTTTATGTTGTTTCAAACAGCTGCCTCAGGAGGGAGCTGCAACTGCTCTGGATTCTGCTCTAATTTCAGTCACAGCTATCGACTGCAGGCTCTGTCACCTGTCACCTTTTCAGCCTGCTCCTGTTTGTCTGCACCACGCTATTCCACATGACATAAAATGTCAGCAACAGCTTTGGTTGTGGAGAAACAGTGCAGAGTAAAATGACAGTAGCAGTCAGTACAGTGCCTATGATCTGCCCGCTGTGTCCTTTCATGACAGGAGAGTCAGACTTTGACAACCTGCTGGACGGCTTCCTCCAGGTGACAACTTTTGTCTGTCTTTGCTCTGTGCACATTCTGTGTAACTCTACACCTGCGTCGGTATTGTCTTTGTTTTCATATTTATCCTCGTGGACGAGTGAAGAGTTCACATAACGCACTTGTTTAGTTGACGGGACAGGACACCTCTTTCATGTCCCCTCTGTAATCACTTCAATTAGTCATGCAAGGGAGCAGGGTTTCAGCTGCTCTCTGAGATGTTGTTTGCTCTCATGCCAAGGTAAAGTCCACTGATTACAAGAGTCCTCGGCATATTTGTCATTTTCATTTCTGTCAATTCCGCCGAAGGGTAACAGGATAAAAGACATCAAAAAGATAGCCCTTTTATTCAAAGACATCATATTAAGTTGTTACATTTTTGAACGGTGCCGTTTTCGAATTGTCTTTTTCCCTTCCTTACATTAAACAGCAGCATGTTGTCCTCTCTCTTTGAAATGTAAATAATTTGACCGCTCCCATGGTAACACCTCCCATGTAAACAGCCTCAGCGCCATGCGCCAACCCTCCACTGATATGGACTTTGTTTAGGGGCAGAGCGGAGAGAGGGAACCACTCAAGGAGACGTAATTTTAAAAATCCCTTTCATGTCATGGAAAAGCGATGAACTTCTGTTGTAGTTTATTGCCGGTGTGATTTTTAAAAGCATCCCCCTTGCTCTTTGAAGTGAGAACGGGTCTGTTTTTCCTCTGCAGGAGTGTCACTATGTCACTGCTCATCTGTTTCTTGTCTCTGATTGGATCAGATGAAATCCTTCTTCAGTGTCCAGTGTTTGACTGGTCAGACTGAACTGAAACTGGTGTAACACAGAGCAACAAATTACACTCTGCAGATGCACTTCAGTCAAGCAGGTGTCTTAATAAATCCGGTGACTTGTTTTATATGAAATTAAGATGATTTGTTTGACACTTTGTTGTTGCTTTACAGTATATGTTAACCTTAGAAGAAGATTTAAAAAACAGTGTGACATTTTGGGAAATACACTTATCCACTGTCTTGCAGTGAGTTAGATGAGAAGCATGGCTTTGTTCATCGGAAACATTCCACTTACCAGCACCTCTAAAACTCAGTAATTAACATATTATATCTTACTTGTTTAATTAGTAGAAAAACAAAGTGTAAAGGCCATTTATGAAGAGATTTGTGTCAGACTATTTCTTGGCTGGGACACGTAACTTCCTGGAGTGTTGCTGGTTGCCCGACAACTGCTCAGAGCAACTAAATAGTCGAACAAATAACCCCTCCATGAACAGGACTGGGTATTGTTTAAAAAAATTGCGCTACCATTATCAATACCAGTACCTTCAAAGTGATTCCAATACCAGTAGAGTACTTTGATACCCATCATTTAAATGTAGTGGTGTGAAGTAGCCATGCTGTCTGACATTTGAGTGACATTTCGGGAACTGAACTGTCAACTCTGTCAGCACACTGGGCTCGACTTCACCACACCACAGACTGTATGAGTTGTAGCTGCTGCTGCAGGAGTGTGAGCTCTGAGCCAGGGAGAGTTCGACCAGCCGCACGTACACAGTGACAGGGCTAACTGTTAGCATCACATGTCTAACGTTACCTGCAGATCATTAAGGGGTTTATTGACATAGACAAAGTCTAGCCGTTTCGGTGTCGGTGTGAGTTTGTTGGGACTGTTTAACAGCACAGCGCTATGTTGCGATATCAATGTTAGCCGCTGCTGCTTGCTACGTCAATCGTCCACAGCTTTTGAAGAAATACATAGTCCTTGTGAATGCCTGTTTGCTTGTTTTTTTATTTCAATGTCAAAACATACTGGGCAGACGTCGAGCTGACTTCAGGAAGAGAGAGGCTTTTGCGACTGCAGCAACAGAAAGTTTGCAGATCTGAGCTGGGATGGTCCGGGATCAAATCCCCGGTGCAAAAATGATTGAATGTGGGTATCTTTTGACTGGAGATGTATCAATACTACTAGTATACGAGGTTACTGGATTATTTCAGTTGGTACCTTAAAGGTATAGATTACCAATACTCATCCTTACCCATGAATTAGTGAACTGATGTTTTTACACTTCAGTTTTTCCATGGAATAAACAAACAAGATGAAACATATTGATTTGTGAGCTTAAGATGTGCTGGTAGGCAGATTTTATAACCTTTGGACAGAGCCAAACAGAGCTAGCTGTTTCCCCCTGTTTCCAGTCTTTATGCTAAGCTAAGCTAACCAGCTGTTGTTCATGAGAGTGGTATCAATCTTGCCATCTAACTCTCAGCAAGAAAGCAAGTCAGTGCATTTCCCAAAATGTTGATTCTTCCTTTAATATGGCTGTTTCTGTAGTCCTGTTTCTATTAACTGAGCATAAAGGCTTTGGTGAATGATTGGACTTAAGAAGATTGATGCCTTCAATAACAAAAACAAAAAATCCCCCCTCTTCAAAGTTAGCTGACCAGACCATAATCGTAGTATCTTTCCTCACTTTTTACAGATTTTGTCATGCATGCCTTCATGTTGCTGAAGCCAGTGCTTCATTATGCTTTTATGGCCTATTCCGGTCAAACTCGCGCTGCGGTCACACACATCGAATTGTTCTCCTGACAGCTGTCTGTGCCTTTTATAATAGCTACTTGAAACAGAGGAAGGTTTTATTTTCCTTCTGAGCATCATTTTTACTGATTCATGTGTCTTTTTATGATGTTATTTCAGCTCCGAGCGGGTTTAGAAATAGTCTCAAAGTGCTATTCCCAAGCATTTATATACCTAACATATAAACATTTTTATTGCTCAAATGTAATTTTGTGGGCAGAAGTAAGAAGGGAAGACAAAAAAGACACGCATTTCTTGATTTCCTTCCAATAAATGTTTGGAATTGTAATAACCTCTGGGACAGACAGCCTGTTACTGTCTCATGTGGCTAGAGGATCCGGGTTGCTCTCTCTCTCTGTGGTATGCGTGTCCAAGGGCTTGTTACTCTTTGAGGTCTTGGTTTGTTTAATGAAGTGGTAATCTGTCTACACAGAGGATCACCCTCGAATCTTAAGTTCACTGTGTCAAGTGACTCTGTTTATAAACTTCTTAGCGTCTCTAATAAAAATGGCTGTTACTCCCCCCCACCATGCTTGTGAATGGTATATCCGATATAATGATGTATTCCAGCGGCGTCGACTGTTCTTTCTCCTCTGCGATGCCACCACCTCTGGGTTTGTATATGCTCAACCCGTTGCTGACATTGAAACCTATGCTTGTGGCTCCACTGTGCTGAGGGCCAAATGCAAATTGTATCCTAGTGGGCAGCTGGCAGGGGAGTCCACGCAGGCCAAAGGAGGTTGTGTTCTGCCTGACTCGGGTGTGTTTGTGCAGCCATTTTTTAAGGGTGCTGAGGACTTTCCAGCTGTGCCACTACAGTTTGCCTCGGGACCATCAGAAAAACAACATCAATGTTCGAGTTACAGAGAAGGGACTGAAAACACGATCCACTCCGCAGTGTGTTTGAAATGTTAACTAAAGAAAACAAGCTGGCTAATGGTTTTGTATTTATATATTTTCTTTGGAGGCTTTGAAGTCAGAACCCATGTTGCATGTCAGCCCCAGGCAATGCTGGAAAGTAGCCTAACTGTGAATGTAAAGACACACACACACAAAAGCTTGATTTCACTTCTGCCTTGGAGGACTTCACAGATTTAGCTGAAACATTTCCCGACATTTTTGTGTCGAGCCAGAAATTTACCAGCTTTAGTTCAAGTGTTATCGCCACTGCTCCAAATGAACAGCGGATCATTTTTGTGGAAGCACTTTTCACATTCAGTGATGGAGAGAATTAAATAAACGTATCAAGGAAAAAGAGGATTGCTCACTATTTAAAATCACTACAAGCAGAGTAAAGGCCCAGACACACCAAACCGAAATCAAGCAGCTAGTGGTGACAAAGGTTGACCGTTGCATCGCCTCATGTCACCTGTGTCTCCGCCAAAAAGTTGCATTAATTACTACACAAAGACTTGAGCAAATGGCCAACTAGCATGTACTGTACATTCTGTACGTACAATATGTGAGGGAAAATACCCCTCCGTACCAGCAGGCGGTGATTTGTCATTAAAAAAGAGAAATCAGAAGACCGACAGAACGCATCCAAGACGCTAGTTAGCCAGTTAGCATATTAACAACACAATGCAATTTTGACAAAACAAGGATATTTATCGTGTGCGAATAACAACACAAACAATTACAAGCCGTTTCTGCCTAAAGCTCAATGGCTAAATAAACAGTCTTATCTTAAATAATGAATTTGTTTTGATGTCACGCCCTCATGACTTCAGTTGTTTGTTTACTTTCCTCACTTCCATTTATTTATT